ATGAAATATAAGAGTTGTGTTGCACTATGCAATGCTACCAAATAGTCATACACTTGATGCCTGGTCTGTATTGAGTTAACTCACTAAGGACTTTACTAGTAGTACAGTAATTGATGGTTTTCAATCTAGAAGAAAGGAAGAAAATCAACTTTGGCTGCTTTCCTGATGCAGGAACTATGGCTGGAAAGTGCATGCCTGATGCATAAAGCTCAGCTATGATTCCACTAGACTTTCCACTCTTTGAATAGTTAACCTTCAGTATCCTAGTTATACAAGAAAATAGGAAGTATTGCGTATGATAAGAAGACAGATAATTTTACAGACAGATTAGTTATTGCATTCAACAAAGAGAAAGATAAATGAATGGAACTTATAAAGTGGGAAATGAAGTCTTGTCCCTATCAGGTCATGATACAACTATGTGCTTGATTTCCAATAAAAAAAACATAAAACAGGTGTGATTTCACCTTAAATTTTCTGCTCTGGATTAGCTGCTTCCTAGATAAAATCTTGACGTGGAGGTGCCGGTGTTGGACTGGGGTGGACAAGCTCAGAAGTCACATGAAGTGTGACGAAGGAGCAGTGCTCCGAAAGCTTGGTGTTTTCAAATAAACTTGTTGGACTAGAACACGGTGTCATGTGACTTCTGACCTAGATAAAATGTGATTCAAATGAATGGCCGCCTTAGAGGAAAAAATAACTACACAGCAACGTTGGAATTACTTTGCCAAATGATAAGATCGCATATTGCATTAAATAATGATAATTTTTTTTTGTTACCACATAAATTTTGATAGTCATAATTCTGTCTTTCCTATGTAATACAGAACATATATTTTTCAGAACAAAATCATAACTAACAATTAGCTAAATCAATAATGCTTATAATTTGGCCCCAAAGTTAGTTTGAGTGTAGACAGTATAAGGATGGAGATAAAATAAAACCGATGCTACATACCTCCTGAGAAACATGAACTTGCTGAAGCGCTTGTACTGATAACTGCTGAACTTGGCTAGTTTTAGCAGCCTGGGGTGTTGTTTGCACAACAGACCTCTGTAAAATCAAAATAAAAAAAAAATTAATTCTACTTTGAGCTTGACCTATAGCTATCAAAGAATCAACTTATTTCCTTACTTTATTTTCTACAGCGTCAAATATTTAATATTTCAGATGCTGCTTTGTGATACGGAGGGCCAAAGGATTGCTGAGCAAAGTGTTTTCAAACTGCTGCACTTAGCTTCTCCTCCCTTACCACAGCAGATGTAAAATTGAGAACATGATAAAATTAGAAAAATCTTCTTCTGATGAGAACTGTCAGAACATCAGTCATAGATGCATTGAAATTTCATAGATTTCTGCCCCAATTGTGCCGGAGAGATGAGAAGCCATGATCAGGAAAAGCTAATCTTCTCCAATGGCTGACATTAAGGAAGCAGTTCTTTGCAGAACATAGGCATAGAATGGGGTGCACAAACAGAACTGAAAAATAGAATTTATGGGAATCAGATCTTAAACAGGTAACTTTGAAGATGGCTTTTCCAGAGGAATTTGGAAGCATTTTATATTGAAAGTTCTCTCCTTACACATTTTAAAAAATAAAATTGGCAAACACTTCCAAAATGTTGCGATGATCAACAGTTGTTAAAGGGTTGTACCCCCAGTTGTTTCTGGGGGTAATTCAGGAGGCAAAGCAGAAATTCATCCCATGGAAGACTAAACATACCACGGGGAGGACAAGACAACCATGGCTGATAAGGGAAGTCAGGGAGATCATAAAAGCAAAAGTTAAAACATACGATGTGGTGAAGATTAGTGAAAAGCCAGAGGATTGGGAAGACTTTAAAAACCAGCAGAGGAAAACAAAAAACGCAAAAATGGGGGAAGATGAAACATGTGATTAAGCTAGCTAGTAATATAAAAGAAGATTGCAAGAGTTTTTTTTAGATATATAAAAGGTAAGAGAGAAGCAACAGTGGACATTGGACTGCTGAAAAATGAGGCTGGAGAAGTAATAATGGGGAATAACGACATGGGGGAGGAACTGAATGGATACTTTGTATCAAGCTTCACTGTGGAAGACAACAGTAGCATACCAGAACTTCAGGATAGTCAGGGGGCATATCTGAGTGCAGTGGTCATCACTAAAGAGAAGGTGCTCGGGAAGCCGAAAGGTCTGAAGGTGGATAAATCACCTGGACTGATGGACTACATCGCCAGGACTCTGAAGGAGTTAACTGAGGAGATTGTGAAGGCACTGGTGATCTTTCAGGAATCACTAAAGTCAGGGAGGGGGCTAGAGGACTGAAAATGGCTAGTGTAACATTCCTGTTTAAGGAGGGAGAGAGGCAGAAGACGGGCATTTTATAAGTCGGTTAGCCTGACCTCAGTTGGTAAGATTTTAGAGATTGCAGAGTACTTGGAAATGCATGGTAAAATAAGACTGATACAGCATGGCTTCATCAAAGGGAGGTCATGCCTGACAAATCTGTTAGAATTCTTTGAGGAAGTAATGAACAAGGTAGACAAAGGAGAGCCAGTCGACATCCTGCTTGAATTTTCATAAGTCCTTTGACAAGGTGCTGCACAGAAGACTGCTAAATAAGATGAGCCCATGGTGTTAGGGATAAGGTGCTGGCTAGGAAAAGACTGATTGGCAGATGGCAAACACTGGGGGACAAAGGGATCTTATTCAGGATGGCAGCTGGTGACTAGTAGGATTCTGCAGGAGTCAGTTTTGGGACTACAACTATTCACATTACACATTAACAAATTGGACAAAGGAACTTAAGGCATTGTTGCTAAATTTGCAGATGGCACAGACAGGTGGAGAGACAGGTGCGTTGAGGAAGCAAGGACACTGTAAAAGAACTTGGACAGACTAGGAGAGTGGGCCAAGAAGTGCCACATGGAATACAATATGGGAAAGTGAGAGGGTATGCACTTTGGTTGGAAGAATAGAGGCATAGACCATTTTCTTTGGAAACCTGAAGCACAAAGAGACTTAGGCATCCTAGTTCAGGATTCTCTTAAGGTTAACATGCAGGTTCAGTTGACATTTAGGTAGGCAAATACAATGTTAGCATTCATTTCAAGAGGGCTAGAATACAAGAGGAGGGATATACTGATGAGGCTGCATAAGGCTCTGCTCTAATCGCATTTGGAATATTGTGAGTAGTTTTGAACCCGGTATCTATGGAAGGATGTGCTGTCCTTGGAGGGGATCCAGAGGAGGTTCACGAGAATGATCCCGGGACTGAAAGGCTTATCATATGAGGAGCAGTTGTAGACGCTGGGTCTGTACTCAGCGGAATTTAGAAGGATGAAGTGGCATCTCATTGAAACTTACAGGATACTGGGAGGTCTCGTTAGAGTAGACATGGAGAAATGCTTCCACTAATAGGATAGACTAGGACCCGAGGGCACAGCTTCAGAGTGAAGGGACAATTCTTTAGGACAGAGATAAGGAGGAATTTCTTCAGCTAGAGGTTGGTGAATCTGTGGAACTCATTGCTGTAGAAGACTGCATGCCTTTAAGACAGATAGACAGGGTCTTGATTAGGAAGGGATCAAGGTTCACAGAGAAGGCAGAAGAATGGGGTTGAGAAACGTATCAGCCATGATCGAATGGTGGAGCAGGCGTGATGGGCAGAATGGCATAATTTTGCTCCTATATCTTATATCTAGGTCTAAAAACAAACTAAATGCCCTCTGGATAGGTACTTTGATGCTTCTTGCCTTCCTTTGATCTTCAAAAATCTAGACCCAAGTACTGCTTTATCAGAGAATCAAGAACAATAATTGGAGCCACTGTGATGGGAAAACCATGCCAAGAAGTTTAATTATCGACACATAATGTTTTTAAAACATATAAAATATATGTACTATTCTGCATTATTTAGCTTTGGCATCACACTTGATAAAAATGAGGCATGCTTGCTTATGAAATTGGGCCAGAAGTGTTTTACTTAACACGATCGACAAAAATCAACCAATGCAAATGGTCCAGGATATATCTAAGCAGTTAACAACTGTATGAGACAAGTTGTTTGGGACCAAGTTAGATCCATAGGTTTTCAGCTTTCCTATTTTTTTTAAATTAAAAGACTTTTGTAATTCTAGATGTGAAAAAAATACAATATTATTGGAGATGCTTATTAATTGTGACAGTAAATCTCTAACAATAGCCTACAACAGATCTCAACAGCTTTGTTTAAAAAGTACTGGTCTTGGAAGCTATCTGATTCTTGGCCTTTAAATGTAGGCCCCATAGGCTGACTCAGCCCCTAATATTCTGGGAAGCAAATATGGGCAGATTTCTTACACAGAAAGAATGGTCCATACTCAGTTCACACTGGAAGTAGTACTAAACCTTTGTAAATACAAATTAATGTCCCAATAAGTATTTGAGAACGTGAATGTAAGATCAGTTTACACATCTTCACTCAGGAGAATCAGACTGTAAGATTGCCTGCAACCTTTACTTTTGGAATATATTTGCCCTGATTGCAGACCTGAAAGGAGCAGGGAACTATCAAAATAGAAATCCCAAACAAACCCTGCTGGTACTCTACCAATAACATTATTGACATTCCTTGCCAGTCAGGTTGTTATATTAACTGTAAAAATTATCCACTGATTCCAGCTTTCTTTATTTTCAATGTCAGCCTTTCCAATCAAAGAGCCTTTTGTCAACATCCTTATTTAAATCCAAGTGCATCGTATCCACTGTTTCATTGTCTAGCAAGCTCCTTTGTCACACCCTGAAAAGATAACCAATAAATTAGATTGACAAGACCTCTCCTTCATGAATCTTTGTGAATTGGTTATCTTTTATGATTCCATTTTTATTAAGATTGTTATTGTTAGTAAGGATTTTCAGGCTTTATTTGTAATGAACATCAAACTTATTATTCTGTAACTTCTTTTCCAACGAATTTTAAAAATATGAACATCAACCATTCTCGCCCTCACGTGCCTCCCCATTACATACTGATTTCTAAAAGATGTGCACAATGTTTGCTTATACATTATGTATTACTTGGTAGACTCTTTCAACCAGTCAGCAATGTCTTTAAGGTTGTTAAGTCTTTTTTTACAATGGAAACACATTGATACACTGCATTCAGCATCACCTCCATCACAAAATTCCGTAGTTCCCATACACTCTTAGCCATATTACATTACCATCAGCACCATTAAATTTAAATTGCTTAACATATAGTAGAAATATTTTAAGACAATAAAATATTAATGAATACAGATTGACAATGTAACAGGAAAAACGTATGGTCATAATGCAAATAAAATGTAATTCAGAATTACAAAACGATACATTTTGGGAGGAACAATGAAAAATGACAAGCAATTTTGAAGTGGGTGCAGAAACAGTGACGTCTGAGGGTTCACATGAATTGATAAAATATTTTAAAACATGTAAGATCCTTGGTTTTACAAAGACAGGTACATAGTTCAAAAAGGAAGCAATGCTAATGCATTATAAGTTACTGATTAAGCCTCAACTACAATTTTGGCCCATTGTATTCATAATTGTTCAGGTAAGGGGTCAAGGCACTGGAGGACATACACAGAAGGCTTGCCAGAATGACACAAGGCTAAGCGATGTCAATTACATTGAGAAAACAGGTGCTGGAATTGATCTCCTTAAGGCAGAGAAGGTTACTGGAGATTTAATAGAGAAAATTATATGGGTTTTTGACACAGCAGATCTTCTGCTGGCAGAGGCAGAAGAGTTGGCAGTCACTGGATACAGATTTAAGAGAAGAGATAGGCAAGGTAGAGAGAAATATATTTACACAGGAAGTTCTTATAACCTGAAAGGCACCCAATCATTCTGTGTGTAGTGGAAGTGGACATGGTGTGTACACGTAACTAAATGTTATGTTGGGAGATGCCTCTGCCTACAACTTCATGTGTTAATTTCACATACAACACGGAAGTCAAGTCCATTTGTACTGATGACTTGCGCAAGAGCTTAAGACCATACTTGCACTTACATTAGAAGCAAGTGAAAACTCTGTAATGTGTCCTCTAGG